GAGCGGCCGCTACAGTCGCTGCCGACGTCCGCGGTCCGCCAGCCCCGCTCCCCACTCCAGCTCGCTCAGTGGAAGCAGTAACAAACTGGGCGCGTCCCCTACGCCGTCAGCGCCTGACAGCCGCCCCCGCCGGCGGCTACCGAGCCTCGCTAGGGTCAATTCCAAAACGCGTTCAGCGCGGGTTGGCCCAAGGCATCTTGGGAAATGCAGTTTCTGCACCAGTTTTCTGAGTCTGACGCCGGGAAAGATGCAGAGAACGTCTGCAAAAGATAATCTGGTGCTCGCAGGGTACAAAAATCTCAGCTTCGATTTGCACATAGAAAAAACTGTGTTTGTTTTTGTTTTAAAGTGGAGAAAAGAAATTATTTTCTGAAAGCGACTAAAACTTATGAGTGAATTTATGGGTGAGTTGATGCATGTAAAGTGAAGTACATTGGTGCCAAGAATCCCAATTAGCGATACAAACTACTGGAATCATAGCTACCAGTGACCAATGAAGAAAGAAAACTTGAAGTTAAAGGTAAACAGTTCAACGAAGATGTTGACACAGTGTGCGCCCACTATAAAAAAAGACCAACAGCATGTTAGAATTAATAAATAGTTCTGAAAATAAAGATGCCAATATTATAATGCCCTGATATAAATCAAGGATGTCACTGTCTCTCTTAAAGTTTTGGTCACTGCACCTCTAATGGATATCGTGGAGCTAGAGAAGGTTCAGAGGAGGGAAAATAAGATGATCAAGAGGCTGGAGCAGTTTGTGGCATTTGGATAAAATAGATGCAGAAAAGCTATTTTCCTCTTCCCAAAATGCTAGAACCAGAGGTCACTCAATGAAATTGAATCCTGGAAGAGTGAGGGTAGCAAACGGGAATTTTTTTATTTGGGCTGCAGGTTGCCAGCACAAGTTCTGTATCAGTTCTCTATCAAGTAGCCTGAGTTACTTTTGAAGCTGAGGAACTGATCTCCCCATTAGACAAGTGGCCAGTTAAGACACCGACGATGGAATCTTTCCAAGGTAACTCTTCAACATCGCTTGTGATGCTTGTACATGGTTTGTCTAGATTGCTTTCCTCCTGTTCTTCTGCTCTGTTAGAGTAGCATGTGAAAAGCCTCTAGCCAAATGAGCAGATAATCAACCAAACCAATTTTGCACATGAAAAAGTACATGCATTGCTCTGTTCCTATGAAGCACAATAACAGTCCCACTACTGTGTCACAGTACTTTTTTTAAGCAGGTAGAAAGCATGAACCATGCACAGACGTGGGTGAGAAGTGAAAATGAGGCACAGAGGCGGGCAAAGTGAATGTGCTCCACCTCAGTGCCATGTGTGTCAGGCCTTCAAGGTAGGCAAGGTCAGGAAGCAGGAGTTGCTAGGAGACTTGGAATGTATTTTAATGCAGTTAAGGAATTGTAGCAGAATATTAAAAGCCTGTCATAGCCTCCTTCTACTTCAAGGTACCTAACCCAATCAAGACTTGTTCTGAGTTTCTTTTTCATACTTACTACTTTCCCAAGGTTGAAATAAGTTCTGTAAGGGCTTGGTATTCCCCTCCTGCTTCTCTGAGTCAAACCAAAATTCCATCACACCATAAATCATTGCCAAGCCTTGTGTTGTATCAAAATGAGGCCTATCTCAACCATCAACCTTAAAAGAGGTGGTTGCTGTTCCCTCTTCCAACACCTGCTACCTCACTTTGTGTGATGAGATCCAGTATTTTAATATTTGCTACTTCATACAAATAAATCATGGTTACATAAGTCTGACAAGAACCATCCTTCTCAATACAATATAAATCTCTGTTGACAATCTGCTGAAAATCATGGCTAGTCTGTTCTTTGCTGATTCCTTTAAGAGGTATCTTGGAGAATTTAGTTTATGCCTTTAGTGTAAGCTAAGTTTTAGGTTTTTCCTTGATTGGATCAGCAGTTAGTCCTCCTTCAGATTGTGTTTTAGTCCACCGTTGTAGAACAACTGTATGCAATTATAATTATGCTTTGATTTCTCTTATTGCTCAGTAGTCATTTTCTGTTATTTTTTCTTCTCCATCAGTCATAAATCACAGATCATTGAGATGATAGCAAAGACCTAATACCAGCCCATGTTATTTAAGGATGGTGTTAAATAAACAATTTAGTTGTACTTTATTCATGCCAAACAGTATCTACATGCAGATTATCACAAGATAGGTTTAGTAGCTACATTTCAAAGTTGTTTTATATATGATCACTTATTCTTAATGTATTATCTGAGGCAAGCATGATGTTTTGCAGATTGAAGGCCTCACTTGAGCTTTGAGTGGTAGGCTACCTTAGCTGGGGCCCTGATGTTTTAATTAAATTAAAGAGAGTTAAGGTGACTATTCCTATGTATTTAATCACTTTCGAAATGTCACATTAAAATGACAATTTGGTGTCAAATCTTTGATCAGTGCCAGATGATGAGATCCACAAGGGTAGAAGGCAGTCCTCTAATTACTGGGGAAGAGATGATATAGCCAGATCAAAACCACAAGGAATTCTGATCACTGCTGGTACCAGTATTGAAAGAGAAGTTTTTTATTTTATAAGTACACGTAAGTCAGAAGCATATATAAAAGAAAACCTGAAATTGTTAAAGCAAAAATGAAGCATATTAAACTGTATATTTTTGGAATAAGTAAACTTAGTGGACTGGCTTGTGTCACTTTTAATCGGAATATTACATGATATATTTGAGATCATAAGACCATACAAAAGAATGACGTAGCAATGATATTCAAAAAAGACATAGCTGACTATGTAGTGACAGCCTCATATCTATTAGAATTAGGGGATATTCAATTAAAAACAATGTTATACAACTGTATATACCTACTACAGGTGCAATGGTGGAAAATACACAGGAATTTTATGGTAAATTGCAAGAGATGCTAAATACAACATTTAGAAAGAATATATTATTAATTAAACAAACCTATATAGATGCCCGTTTACTAGAAGTTACTCTGAGTGGCGAACAAGTATAAAAAAATATAATTAAAAAAAGTTTTTTTGAGGCTCCAATAAAACTTGCATCCATCAACCAACCATGCTGGCTCTATCAACACTGCAATTGCAGGGCCTGGAAGAAAAGCCAGGTCTTCACAGTCTTCCTGAAGGCCAACAAGGTCAGGGCCATATGAATCTCTGGGCAAGGGGCTATTCCATAAGGCAGGCATGACAGAGAAATTGTGCTTCTGAAGCCCCACCAAGCAGCTTTGTTTCACTGCCAGATCTAGTGGGATAGGCAGAAATCACTACAGACAGTCAGTCCCACTGGTAACCTGGCCCCATGCTATGTAGGGCTTTAAAGGTGATGACCAGCACCTTGAATTGTACCTGGAAGCCTACTGGGAGACAGTGCAGCTCACTGAGTAATAGCATTATGTAGTTGTACCGCAGTGCTCCTACTATTGCCATGCCACTGCATTCTGGACCAGCTGCAGCTTCCGAATGCTCTTCAAGGGCAGCTCCATGTAAAGTGCATTACAATAGCCCAATTGGGAGGTCAGTTAAGCATGAGTGACTGTGAGCAGTGCCTAGGAAAAGACACAACTTGAGCAGAAGATATATTTGTGTAACAGCTGTCCTAGCCACAGCTGCCACCCACTCTTTGAACAGGACCCATCAGTCCAGGAGAACCCACGGATTGCACACCAACTTTTACTAAGGGAGTGTAAACCCAACCAGAGTTATATATGGCAAACCACTAGATATGTAGGTGCCTATAACCCACAACCACTTAGTCTTGTCAGGGTTGAGCCAAAGCCAGTTCTTCCCCATCTAGGCCTGTAGAGCCTCCAGGCACAACAAAAGCATCTCCACAGCATCACTTGGACCACCTTAGGCAGAAATGTACAACTGAGTATTATCAGCATACTGATAAAACTAGACCCCATGATTATGGATGGCATCACCCAGCTGTTTCATGTAGATGTTAAATAGGAGCAGGGAGAGAATTGAGCTCTAAGGCACTCTCAAAGCAGAGCCTTAGGGCCTAGACTTAGACCTCTCACCCCCTACCAACCCTGACAGGAATCAGCCTTGCAGGAAGGAGAATTACTGAAGAACTGTGCCTCCGACTCCCAATTTCCTCAGCTGACCCAGAAGGATACCTTAAGTAGGTCAGGAATGCAAAAATTGGAGGTGGAAGAACCTGGAGTGACAGAAATATTTAGACTGGGTAAAAGTAATAATGCAAGAATTTAGTTAATAAAATTTTGCAGAGATTTTTTTTAATTGCCAAAACACACTTTATACAGCATAAATAGATTCTACCCTTAGAAATCATGAGACAAACAACATTGGACCTACTGACTACCCAGCTGTTTCTAGATCACATTTTCTGGTACAGGGGCTTAGTTAATCATTGATCTCAGATTGTGGCTCTCAATTTAAATCTGGGTTCTAGAAACCCTCTTAGTTACTGGACATTTATATTTATCTGTCATTGGCTCATTGCCCAGAACTGAATGGGCAGAAAGGAAAAATATGGTATTAGAACAATATTTGTGTTGCTATCTATCCTATTAACAGAACAATAGGCCTGACTGGTTGCTATTTGAAGAATTTAAATATAACATTCTGTATATTTCTATTGGCAGGTCTCCCTTCCAAGCAAACATGGCTATCACCTGTGCTGTTTGTACTGCAGGACTCCTGCCTCTGTGGTTTCTCATTTCCTGCAAGAGAAATAAGTGGCACAGCTGATCCTAAGAGAACAGTTGGATTTGGCTAAGGCTGTATAAATGGGCAGCTGATGCTCATAGGTAGAACAGTGCCAGAATTGCTGTGGGGCATTTGGTGTGGCTTTCCATTAAGTTTGTACCTTCCTCCTGTCCAAGAAACTGCCCTCATTATTTATTGGCTCTTTCCCTGTGACAGCTCAGATCAGCCCTGTAACCTTTTATTTGCAATTACTGCATTGAAAATATACCCGATATTTTATAGCAATCTTTATTAGGAAGGGGCCTCCCTGTGTCTTGTATTCTGCAACTTCCCCCATCTGAAATTTCCAAGTGAGCCTCATCTCCCCGAACTATCTACTGCCATATCAGACTTTGATCAACAAAGAGGGCTCTGTGTTCCCTATTACACCTACTTTGCAAGCTGCTGTTTTAGACTCATGTTGAATGGGGAAAGTGGAGTACATTCCAGCCTTTTTGGGTTCTTCCACTTCTGTCAGCCTTCAAGTAGATCAGTCTAGGAATCCAATGCCATGTAGACCAGTACTACTGTTATTGTAAAGCTATAGTAACAGAATCTTGCAAGTCTGAATGCTCTTCCCCCTCCCTCCCTTTATCTTCTTGAGAACTAGGGAGGGGCTTGTCTGCCATGTTTACTTAGGTTACATTCCTGCCCAGGACTCAAGCCTCTTTTATCTGCCTGTTGACTTAGTAGCAGCTCTTCCTCCTGTCCCTCAAGGCCATTCCCTCTTCAATTTCATACTTACCAATTAACCTTGAGGACAGGCCTAGTCCATCTTTGCAAACTGGAGGGGGGGTTATTGCTGTCAATCCATTCCATGGCAAGGAGGAGAGCAAATCTGAAGGGGGAGGTAAGAGTGTGATAGTGTGGCTACCATACCTCAGGAACACAGAGGGGGCAGCAAGTCAGTTAAGGGAGGAAATAGGGCCATTACAGAAGAGATTCTTGAGTCTGGGGGAGGGTAGGGGGAGTGTCAAAAAGAAACTCAGAGTAACTCCATCTTAATTACACTAGGTATAAGTTGTGCAGGAGGATTACTTTAATAGGCTTTCAAGATCCTGTTACATTTCCCTACTAACAATAAAGATCTTTCCAAAAATCCAAGTGGTTTTTGTTTCCTGACTTTGCCAGCCTCGCAGGGCTGGACAGAAAATTCTTAAAAAAGGAGTGCCATTATGGGCATAGCTAGTTAGAAGCTGATGTGGCTACTCCCTGCCATGCCCTCTAACAGGTGGGCATATTTGTTGGGCTGCGTACACCCAGTTTTCTAGGAATGCTTATGTGGCCTTGCTGCATTCTTGAAAATGATGCTATTACGCCAAAGGTGGCGTTACAAAATGCTGACAGAAAGGACAATCAAACTTCTGAACCTGCAACATTCATCGTTTTCTTATTTTGAATTTATAAACAACTGCACTTGAATGGTAAGTATGCATTCAAATTTAGAGAGAGATACACTGTACAGTGGAACCTTGGTTTACAAACTTAATTCGTTCCGTGACTCTGGTCGCACCCCGAATTGGTCGCAACCCAAAGGAAATTTTCCCATAAGGTTCAATGTAATTACCATTAATCCATTCTAGCTTGGAGGACAGGGAGGCGGCTATTGCTTGGAGGGAGAGTCCCCCCCCCACCCCACCACGCA